AACCACAGTCCCCCGATCTCTGCCAGAACTTCCCTCTCGTGCTCTCTCTCATTCTCTCTCTCTCAAATGAATAAATAAAATCTTTAAAAAAATAAATAAATAAATAAAAATTAAAAAAAAAAAGAATGACAAATGGTTGGTGTTTGTTTTTTTTTTTTTTTTCTTGAGCCTCTCTCTAGTGACCTGGGCAGTTTGCATGGTTTGCCAGGAAACCACAGTCCCCCGATCTCTGCCAGAACTTCCCATGTGGCCACTGTCCTCAGACAGCTCTTGGAGCTTGTGGATAAGCACTGGAATGGCTCTGGCTCTCTCCTTCTTAACAAGAAGTTTCTCGGTAAGTGAATGCATTCTCAGCTCCTGGAGAAGGGCTCAGACCTTGCTTCTGCTCTGTGTTCCTATAAAAGCCACTCAGTCCCCTTAACTTGCAAGGAAAAAATTGTTCCCATGATCACCAAAATTTGTCAGCGGCACAGTAATTGACAAATCTGCATTTTTCTAATAATCTTCTTCCCTGTTTGTTTCATCAACATTCTTCCCTTGTGTACCAATTGTTTTGTCCCTTTTATGACTTTTTGGTAGTCTTTGAGTAAAATGTAGAGTGATGAGATATGTAAAATAGAGTGTGGTGGTATTGGTGGTGGTAATAATGATTATGAAAGGATTTTATGATCCTTGGGACAGTGCCAGTAATAAATACAATAAAAATTGGGTTTGATCATCAGAATTCTAAGATGCCTGTTGAAATGTTATGATTTGAAAAACTTGAATGAATAAATGACTTGGACTCTTCTTAGGGCTTCTTTTTTAGGAACTTGGAGGAAAAATCATACTGCAAATACTGCCTCCACATGTTTATTTGTTGTTTAATGGAAAAAGAGTTCAAGGAGATCTTGGTGGTGGTAAATGTTTAGGAAAAACTAGAAACTTTAAAGTTGTTTGGGCTCAATTTTTTTTAATTTCTAAAGGGACACATAGAAAAGGTCTTAGTATAGTTTCCTTCCCACATTGACTCTTTGCTCTCATTTTTTAGGAAATTATCCTCAGGAGCCACTCATCAGTGACTAGAGAATAGCACAGGGCTATTGAGGGTCTACTCATGCAGGTCTACTGTTGTTTCTCCATAGAAGGCATGGGATAGAATTTCTTATCCATTATGAAACACCTCTTACAGACACTTTGTAAATTCTTGTAAAAAGGAAATATTAGATAACCATATTTGTCCTACAGAGCTGGTAGTTATTGACTAGGAATTCTGTGCTTTAGCTTTTAAGATTGGCCCGTGTGCCCAACCTGAATTTTTGGCAGGTCCTGCCCGAGATTTACTTCTGACTTTGGTAGTCCCTGCTCCTTCCCAGCAGTGGTGTCACTCACATCCTGAAGATACGACAAAAACCTTCCGCAGGAGAGAGATGGAACTGAAGGAAGCTGGGCATGTGGTCCCTAGTGACGTGGTATGCCTCTCTTATCTTCCTTTCCTACTCTTTCTTTACTAGAATAGGACAGAGCATCAAAACTAGAACAGCTTTGTGCCATAAAGATCATCATCACCATGAACCTAGATGTTCGGGAACCAAAATACAGAGAAGTCAGTCAAGGCAAATCAGGAACACAAAACTTGCCAGCATAGGAACAACTTAGAGGTTCTGCAGGGATGATTCCCTAATCCTAGTCCTCTTCCAAAATTTCTGAAGAAAGACTTGGAGAAAGAAAAAAAGAATGACCTTAGAATGAAAATACTTAGGTTCATATTTTCGAAGGTTATGGTTTAATTCCAATGAGGGAAGGCCAATATCTCTGGGATTGTCTTTCCTCCCTTCTGATGGAACAGAGAGCCCTGAAACAGGGGCCATTCCTAGAGCATCAGGCTGCTGACTTTGGGAAAGGAAGAAGGGACTCATATCCTTAGGCTTTTTCCTTCTTTTCTTAACATAAGAGGATTTTCACACACCAACTTGAGTTTCTAGAAACTTTAGATAGGTGATTCAGAATTGCTGGCCACTTGTCAAAAGAAGCACTTGTCCTGCAAGAGTAGTGGATAACTCACAGGAAAGATTGCATCTCCTTGTGCTGTTTGTTTGCTGCACTTGAGCTTTGTTTACCAATGAATTAAAATTCTAATGAGAAAGTCTGAGAGATGCTGACCTCCTTTTAGTTTATCACAAAACAGAGGAAAACGTCTTTCAGTCTTCTAAAAGCCCTCCACAGAATTTCAGATTCTTAATGTATTTGTATTTTGTTTTCTCATCTAAAGGAAAGTTTGAAGCAAAAACTGGTCAGAGTGCTAGAAGAAAACCTCATTTTGTCAGAAAAAATCAAGCAGTTAGAGGAAGGTGCTGCTACCTTGATTGTGAGTGGGCACCAGTCACACACTTACGGTGAGTTCAGGAAAGCAACATGGGGTGTCCCAAGACAACTGTTTGTTTATAGATGACCCATTTAATAAGCTTCATCATCTAGAGGTCACATGGCTTCCTAAATGGAAACAATCATCTTGCCTCAGAGAGTTGTAATGCCAGTGGCTTGAGTTATCATATGAAGCTCTTTGTCAGTGTAAAGCAAGTACAGATGTTATTATTGTCATTATTTTTGAAATTGACACTTTCTGATTATAGCAGAAGATCATGTTCTATGGGCACCTGGCTGGCTCAGTTGGTAGAGAGTGTGCCTCTTAAGCTCAGGATTGTAAGTTTGAGCCCCACATTGGGTGTAGAGATTACCTATTTTTTTTTAAGATTTTATTTATTTATTTGAGAGAGAGAGAGAGAGCACAAGCAGAGAGGAGAGGGAGAAGCAGGCTCCCCACTGAACAGGGAACCCGATGTGGGCTTGATCCCAAGACCCTGGGATCATGACCTGAGCCAAAGGCAGAAGCTTAACTGACTGAGCCACCCAGGCGTCCCACATGTAGAAATTACTTAAAATTTAAAAAAGATCATGTTCTTTATAGATAGTTTGAAAAATATACGGAAAGTATAATCCCATTACCTGCAATAACTGTCATTATTATTTTTGGTATATTTTCTTTCACCATACTCCTATACATATATTTTTAACTTAAAATTTGTGAGGGGCACCCAGCTGGCTCAGTCTGTGGAACTCTTGGTGTTGTGAGTTCTAGCCCCAAGTTAGGTGTAGAGATTACTTAAAAATGAAATCTTTTAGGGATGCCTGGGTGGCTTAGTTGGTTAAGCATCTGATTCTTGATTTCAGCTCAGGTCGTGGTCTCTGGGTTGTGGGATTGAGCCCCACGTTGGGCTCTGCCCTCAGTGCGGAGTCTGCTTGTCCCTCTCCCTCTGCTTCTCTCCCTGCTCGTGCTCTCAATCTCTCTCTCAAATAAATAAATAAATAAAATCTTTAAAAAAAACTTTTAAAAAATAAATAAAATTTGTGACTTGATGTTTTAAAAATAAATAACATACAACAAAATGCACACATTTTAAGTTAGATGAGTTTTGACAAATATATATATTTTTAATTCCATCCCAGTCAAAATACAGAACATTTCTTTTACTTCAGACCCTTGTGCAGTGAGTTTACCCTACTATCTACCCTAGGCAATCACCAATCCGATTTTTACATCCTAATATTATTTATTTAATGGCAAAAGCATTTCCTATAATATCACATGAATAATTCTAAAGAATGTCCAAACATTCAGTAGACTTGAAATGAAATGCTTAAATGAAGACCTGAGTAGAAATACTTCTCTGAAATTGTTTCTTCTTTTCTGTTGGAGCTGAGAATCTTAATGTTCATTATGATAAATAATGCAGCTGTTTATGTACATAAATTTCAGACTATTTTCCTAGAAGACATTCCTAGAAGTAGAATCAGTAGCTCAAAAGATGTGGACATTTTTGAGGTTTTTGTTGCATATTGTCAAATCACTCCCAAGCAAGGTTATTTCAGTTTACATTCACATCAGCAGTGAATGTATTTGAATGCCCTTTTCATTCCATCCTTGCCCACACTCCAGTTTTTTGTTTTTGTTTTTTTACTTTTTTCCCATTGTGATAAGTGAAAAATAGCATCCCATTGACATCTTGATTTGTACTACTTTATTATTAGCGTAGTTTAGGCCAGTATTTTAGATAAAGTCTACCCTTGGCTTTAAACATCTAGCTCAGCACCCCTAAGCAAACATCATGGGCACTTGGATTTATATGAGAAAGTTGATTTGGAAGTCAGCACTGAATTTCCAGAAGAAACTCATCACTATCTGATTCTCACAAGCCTGAATAATCAAGGCATCTCCACTAAGCTACTCTGAAAATAGATGTTTGTTCACTAGATACCTACTTTGAATCAGCCACAAGGCCCAGTACTGTATTTTGGCTTACTGGTGATAAATACAGCTGTTGCAGCTCTGTTTTCCTCCTTCTAGAACCTTGCTACTCAAAGGGTGATCCATAGATCAGAAAAGTTAGCATCACCTGGGAGCTTGTTAGACATGTAGAATATTGGGCTTCACCTCAGACCTACTGAATCAGAATCTGTTTTTAACAAAATCCCCAGGTGATTTGTAAGCATATTATAGTTTAAGAAGTACTGTTCTAGAAGACTGACTTCCTTAGGACCAGAGTTCCTGTGCTTTTACCTATTTCATTATTGCAAGTATTGGTAACATATTTGGGGAGCTAGGTATGAGTGTCTTGACTACAAATTCAGTTTCTGCAAGCACTCATTGAGTTATTACTATGTGTCTGACACAGTTCCAGATGTTTTCACAGATTCTATAAGGAGTGAAGTACCTACATTCACAAACTAAAATGGAGAATATAGAGAACCTAATATGTGTTGACTATGCTAAATGAGAATTGAATCCTCACAACCGTGGTGGGGCAGGGTTATTAGCCCTAGTGAAACTCAGAAAAAGAAACTAATGCACAATATTAAATGGTTGAATTTTAATTCGGGTCTCTCTGTTCCTAAGCCCCATATCTGCTATCTCTAAGGAAGGGAATGGTGAATAGAGGGCGGAGATGGAGGCAGTGGGGCCCCCAAGTCTTTAAGACGGCCACCTGACTACTTAAGCTCTGCTCAAAGATAGTGGCTTGGAATCCTGTTCACACCTGGCTACTGTACCCTTTGTAGATGATCTTCTGCGCAAAAACCAACAGCTGAACATGCAGGTCGCTTGCCTGAACCAGGAGCTTGCCCAGCTGAAAAAGCTGGAGGAGACAGTGGCCCTTCTCCATGAAAGTCAGAGGTAGGAGAGGGCCTATCTAGCTGGCTTCTGGAAGCAGATATTTACTTTCCTTTATCAGCTTTGTCTTATTTGATAATATCTATGTCCTTTTCAAATTAACTCTATTCTGTGTGTAAACCTCATGTATCTAGGTGTATCTCTGTGTAAACCTTCTGTATTCCAGGACACATGAGGGACTAAACGTCTTTGCTGGCATTGGTGGGTTACAGCCCCCTCAATAATAAGTAGTTTCTCACTAGATCCAACAGGACCCTTGTTTGAGTCAGCTAGCTTTTCTGGGCCACTATGTGCCCCTAAAATCAGCCGTCTGGCTCTTCTGGAAAATGCCTGCCTCCTAATGATCTCAGAAGAGACATCAAGCACTTAGGGAGAGTGACGGAAAGTCCCATGTATTTGTTCTCTTCAGAGGAGGTCAACAGCATCAGCCTCTTCAAAGAACGGTACCCTCAGGATGCCAGTTAGACAAATCAGAAGAAGCCTCAAGACTATTGGTACATTTACAGAAGCTCTTGACATTTTGATTTGCAAAACACCTTCACTATGACTTTGAATGAAGTTTAAATATAAGAACCCCATCCCCAAACCTTCATCCCCAAACTTTACTTCATGAATACCTAGTGAATTAGGATAGCTTCATATTCAGAGAATTAGACCCAGACCCATTCTAGATGGCTTTAAAAAAAAACAAAACTTTTCATTATAATTATTTCAAACACAAAAGTAGAGGAAGTAGCATAAAGTCATCCTTCTCAAACTGGGGTATCAGAATCACCTGAAAAACTTAATGAAATGCAGATTGCTGGGCCAGAGTTTCTGACTCAGCAGGTCTGATGAGGACAGAGAATTTGCATTTCCAGTAAGTTTCCAGGTGATGCTGTTGTTGCTGATTTGGGGACCACATTTTGAGAACATTAGGGTATATCTCTTTAGGTGATGTACAGTCAAATTGCTATATTTTAAAGTAACTTGAAATAATTCTTCTGTGTGTGGTTAAACCATCAGTTCAATATACAGCCTCTATTTGTGTCATTTTGCTTTTGATTCATAAGGAATTTAATTGTTCCTATTTAATCTTGTTTTATAATTATGTAAAACATTTAAATGGCCCCAAAGTCAAATTACAAAATGTTATCTTATTCAGACAAATATAAAAAACATAATGTTGTTTTAACATTTTATCTTAGAAATCAGTTTACAGTAGTATATAGAGTTAGTCCTCCTTCCTTTTTATAACTGCATAGGACTGCAACTGTGTTTGTCTTCTATTGATGGACATTTAGGTGGACAGTGTTTTGCTGTTATAAATAGTGTTGCAATGAACAGAATTGTGCATGCATTTTTTTTGGTTAGTCTCTGATAGCTTTTAATATTACATGGTAATACAGAGTCCAAGAATGCAGTCATGACTAGCACCATTAGTTAATTAGGATAAATTAGATGAAGTAGAAGTTAAGATTTGGGGATAGAAATTGGAGACCTGGTCAGGTGCCAGTCTTCCAATACTTCTACTTACCTCATCATGAAAGTGCTTTGGAAAGAATAGAACAATCACTATAAAAAACGTGAACTATGTTATTGCTACAGTCAGTCTGGAACATAATCAAACAACTGTAATGAAGAAATAAACTGTCAGCCTGCTTTGAAAATAATCTACTCATAAACCGGTCAGTTCTTTCTATTTAAAGATGTTACTTCATTTTACATTTGTCTTTAGTAAACATTTCAGGTCTGAATAGCATCTACTTTGCTTTTATGATTTCATGACTGTCTTTTTTGCCCGTGCCTCAGATCCCTGGTGGTAACTAATGAGTATCTGCTGCAGCAGCTGAATAAAGAGCAAAAAGGTTATTCTGGGAAAGCCCTCCTGCCTCCTGAGAAGAGTCATCATTTGGGGAGATCGTCACCCTTTGGGAAAAGCACGCTGTCTTCCTCCTCACCAGTGGCACATGACACGGGTCAGTATCTAATACAGAGTGTCTCAGACTCTGTTCCAGAGCCTAGTTTATGGAGCTAGCACTGAGCACCTTCTCTGCAGCTTCCCCTCTCCACCTTCAGGGGGACTCTCGGTGTCATTGCCACTAGTATGGTGGTATTTACTCACAAGATTAAGAAAAAATTTTATTCCAATTACATTGTATTGGTCCTTTTTATTTCTTTTTTTATCTCCTCCCATCGAGTCCTTCTTTCTGCCTGCCCACAGAAATAGTTGGCACTTAATCCTAGGCATCATGTCACATAGAAACATTTGGCTGAAAATGTTGAAAAGGAAAAAAACATCAGACATTTTTCTGAGTGTCACTTGAAACTATGTAGTAGAAGGTTAAATGTAGAAGGTTATAAAAGAACATCAATGACCAGTTGTGTTTTATGTTAGAACAAATTTCAGAGACTCTGTATTGATTGGTTCATCAAGCGTGTTTTGAGTTTCCTCCCACCATAGTGAAAAGGTGACACTGTCTGGTTTCAGCTTAGGAGCAGCCAACAGTTTAGTTGAGAAAAGCAAAACTCATGTGATGATATTTGGTATTGGTACCAAACAGGTCTAAATACAAGCCCAAAGATGCCCTGGAGAGAGAAAAAGAGAGGGAGAGAGAGAGGCAGAGGAAGGAATTCCCACTATGGGAAATGGAGAAGGCATCAATGAGGACTTGTCATTTGAGTGGAAGTTTGCACAATTACAATGGTAACAGATAGAGGGGGCCCACAGAGTTTCCCAGACCAAGAATGCAGAGTAGAAGAGTCTGGAGCACCTAGAGGGATTGCAGGGCAGGGAAGATGTGGGTCATGATGCTGGGAGTATAACCAGGGGACCTGTCCTAGCCTGAGAGGTATGGTGTCAGGAAATGTCCACTAAAGAAATGATCTTTCTTTTTTAAATGTTATTGTTATTTATGTTAAGGAATCTCTGTGCCCAATGTGGGGCTCAAACTTCTGACACCAAGATCAAGAGTCACACGCTGTTTGAGAAAGAAATGATCTTTCAACTGAGACCTGAAGAATGAATAGGAAGTCATCAGGCAAAGCACAGGGCCAAGGGCAGAGGCAATGGGAAGGAACATGGTCCATTCAGGGAACTGAGGCGCTGAGAGGAGATGAGTTGGAACTAGACTGCACCGTTCCTTGAAGATTTTAGATAGGAAGGCAAAGGAATGACATTTGTGTTTGAGGAGCTTTCTCTCTGAGAGGAATGGGTTGAGGGCCATGTGGAGTGGGGGGAGAACCAAAGAGGAGGTAGAGATGTGAGAGAAGACTGGTGTGGCCCAGACCAGAGATGAAGCTTCCAAATGTTAGCTTTGGGCTCACTTTACACGTGAGTACCCTGTATTTCAGACCTGAGGCATAATTTTTCTTTGACTTGTGATTGTTTGGGCATTTCAAAATCAATCGGAAAGATAAAGAAAGTGGCTCTAAGTATGTTTCTGTTTCAGGATAGCCCAGGCAGCTAATGTTGCCAGAGAGCATGTAGAGGGCAAATGACTATCAACCTAACTCCGTATTGTGCTTCTCTTCATCTCCAGGGTCGTGTCAAAGAGAGACAGACAGGTGGAAAGATTACACACTTATTGCTCCCCTGACCTGGTACTCTGCAGGGAAGGAGAGCTATAGCCAAAATAATGAGACGTGAAGATCACAACCAAGATCACATACTTCTAAGTTATAAATAAAATCCACAGACCTCTGAATTTAATGTGGATTCCCAAAAGAAGCATGTGCAGAGGAGCTATAAGTTTCTTTGAGGTGCATGGCCCTTTAGGAGCTCGAGTGAGCTCATACTCTGTGGCAATAGTAAGAATCAGCCCCCTTCCTGACTTCTCTAGGCCTGCCTTGGCCCCATTAAGAGGACTCCAAAGAATGTAAGCCTTGCCCAGGTAGGGTAGCCTCAGCCTGTAGCCTTGTAGCCCTGAGTTGTCATATTTCAGGGTCCTGGCACAGTATACGGCCAACTTACTGGGAAGACCACTGGGGGAAAAATAATGAACTTCTTTTTCAACCCCCGCTCTCCCTTCCTTGCCCTATGGACATCAATAATGCCAGACCCCTAGAACGTATTTAGGGTACCTCTAAGGAGGAGCAGACTGAGTCAGTCACCTTTCACCCTATTTTCTATTGTCACTGAAAGTGGCTGGCCCTGCTCCAGGCCAGGCACCTCTCTAGGGTTGCTGGCCATGTCTGGGGAAGTCAGCTGTGTTTCCTAATTTCCCTTGGTCCAGAGGTCGGGCAGGGATGGGGGTGTCAAAGGGCCAAAGAGTTGTGGGGCTAAGTGGGCTCAACATGGAGTGGGGAAGGCTCCTGAAGCAAGTAGAAAGTAAGTGGAGAGGGATTCCTCACCCTAGGCCCAGCACTGTTGGGAGAGAAAAGGAAACAGGGCTGGGATGGAAACTGGATTCTCAGGGAAGTTCTGTGTCCAAAAGGAGGAGCAGGGCCAATCTGACAAGTGTAGCCTTCTTGCCAGCTAAACATAGAGTTTTAATGGCTCCATCCCACAGAACCTAAGCTCTCTTCCTTGCCTGCCTGCTTTCCTAGCAGGGGGACCCAAAGCTTTCCACCGTGAGGAGACTGGAAGATGAAACAGTGGTAACTGAAGGGCTGAAGGGGCATTGTTTGGCCAGTCGATGCCACATACCAGATTCTGCTAGACCCATCAGTCTTTAAGGAGTTTCCCGGCTCTGGGAGGGCCTTGATTGCTCTCAGGCTCCATAACTACTTTTCAGGAAGAAGAGGGGCTTTACTCCTGTAAGGTGGAGTTTTGGGGCTCAGCCTGTTCTCTGGGCTCTTCTAAGCCACACTGCCAGTCACAGGAGGAGCTGAGCTGCTCCTCCCCTCTACATTGGATGGTACTCTCACCTGCAGCTTACTAGCTTGGACCAATTTGCAGTACAGTTAAATTCTTTTCACTGTGAGGATATTTTAGCAAATGCAAGCCAGAAGGATTTGGGTTTCACTCTTATTTTGCTCACTTAAGTTTGCAATTCACCAAATTCCACAAGGCTGGAGAAATCATTCCTCTTACTGTTTGCTGGTAGGAGAGGTAAAGGTCTCTGAAACTCCTCCCTGGGCAAAGTGATGTGGTCAGCTGAGTCAGGAGAAGCCCACAGCTGTCAGCTGTTAGGCAAGGCTCTGCTGTGGCCAGGTGCTGACCTCCCCCCTGTAATTCCCACCTCATCTCCCCAGTGTCCCTGCCCTAAGCCATACTATTCCTCTCCATCCCCACTCCAAACAGAGTTGGGCTCAAGGGATTCTGGGCATACCTGGGGCAGGAACATCCCAGAACAGTCTGTGGGATGAGGGAATAAACAGCTGTACTGCTTTGCTGCCTTATCCACATCAGAAAAAAAAAAAAAAAGGCATTTGTGAATGTTCATCTGTTAAGCCTTTTCTGGCACCCTTGGGAGTTGCCCTCTCCTGGGCAGGCCCTAAGTCCCATCCAGCCTGCTTGTCAGCAGGAAGGAAGGAGAGTTGGCCCCAAAGCCTTGGGCTTGGGAATAGCTATGGCCTAACACCCAGAGCCTCAGAGAAGAAAAAAGGTTGATCTGGAAACTTCCAGGACTCCTCAGGGACCAGAGATTTCCCCTCCCTCCTCCCAACCTGGGATGTTGAACAAATGGGAGGGAATCAGAAGCCCCTTCGGTGTTGGACACCTTGTTCACATGCCAAAGGCTGGTGTTGGGTGGCAGGCTCTATCACTGGCCATCCAGCCCCGTTTCTGGAAATCAGTGTTGGGGCTTTCTGTTAGAAAAAGCCTGGCCTGGGGCAAGAGGCATGGTTCTGAGCTTTATTCTGCAGAAGCCCCCTCACTCTCTGGGCCTCAGCTAGAAAATTAGGGAGTTGGACTATCTACTCTCTAACATTCTTACTGGTCTTGCATTTTCTGACCTTCTGAGCTAGGCCCCAGAATGACTAACTTTGGTAGCCCCATTGAGGTGGAGACCTGTCAGCAGGCATAGACCTGACGCCTGGCACTGGGCCCTGCCCAACACCTGGCCCAGGCCTAGTCTGCTGTCTCATTCCTCTTTCCTGGAGAGGCCAAGACTGAACCCTAATAGGATGGCAAGCTGTGATGTTAGGACTATGGGTCAGGGCTGAGGTGAGAGACCTTAGATTTCCCTAAGGAGCATCCTCAGGCAGTCTGGCTCTGTGCTAATGGAAGGGGCCTGGTGTGTGTCTTTTTCTGGGCAGGGTCACTGGTGTAATGATCAGCAGAGAGTGACATGCAAGTGAGTGGTAACAGAGAGGTCAGCAGGGTGTGAATGTCATTAACCCCATTATTATAAACCTGACCAGGCCATATTGGTACAAAAGGTGTCTTTATTGAGGTCTGGGTAAGAATTAGGCACTTGGCCAGAGCAGCAGCTTAAATATGAGGCAAGCACGCAGGGGTTAGCCATGCCCGGGGCTAGGGTGGGGCAGTGGGGCTACAGGCACAGACTCTCCCCAAACAGCCAGAAGTCAGGGAGGAAAGGGGAAGGGGAGCAGTCTGGGTCAGAGGCCTGGTGGGCTAGCCCTGTGGGGCTGGGCAGAAAGCGCTGGGTGGTAGGTCCAGCAGGGAGGGGACAGGGCTGTCTTGCTCCACGTGCCCTTTAGGCCTAGGCCTGAGGCTCTGCTGGGGGCAGCCGCACTGGGGGCCTTCCCAGGCCTCACTTCTTCACCTTAGCATCATAGGTGCCTGCATTCTTGTAGGCACTCACATAGCCGCTGTCATCCAGGATGTCCTGACGCCCAGCAATGCCCTTGCCCTTGCCACTCTCATCGAAGCGCTCCTTGTGGGAGCCTGTGTACTTGCTGGTGTCGGTCAGCCGTTCCACAGCACCTCCTGTCTTTGCTTTCTGTTTGGATAGAGTTGTTCCCCCACGGTGGCCTGGTTAGGGAGCCCAGCCTTCCTCCCCAGCCGTGATTCCCTATATCCCCCTCAGTGGCCACCCAAGACCAGCCAGGGTACTTACGGTGACGCCCACATTGGCTGGTTCCTTGCCTGCCACCAGATGGCAGATAGCATCAAAGGCTTCCTCCTTACTCTTCTCTTTGAATCGCTTCATTGCCAGCTCTTCTAGGGCCTTCTTGAACTCCTCATAGTTGATAACCCGAGCAGACTTTCCCCTGCCAGGTATGTGGGCACCATGAGTTTTCCCCCTTCTCCATGTCTTCCCTGGTTCCAGCCCCCCAGTTCCCCACCTGGGAACATCAGAAGCAAGGACTGCCTGGGGCTCACTTGACTTTGGAGAATACGATGTCGACATCCGTCCCGGTCACGGCCTTTCCGTCAGCCACCTTGCAGTCCTTGCACAGCTTGGCCCAGTTCTTGCCATTCATCTCTTGCCCACTGGCCTTGGGGTCACCATGGATGGCAAATTTGCGGAAGCTTTCCTCCAGCCCAGCCACATCTGTACTCGTTGCCATGCCACCCTGCAGGGGGGACCCACCTCGGTCACCTCGCAGCCAAGCTGCCCCTCCCCTCCCCAAGGCACAGAACATCACTGCCTCTACCTCAAAACCTACCAAGTTCTGAGTTATGGGCACTTATGCCATATACCTTCAGAACTGGAGATGGAGCTGCCTGGGGAGAGGGGCCAGCACTGAGTGTGTCCCTGGACCCCAGAGTCCCGAGAGGAAAGGTGCTGTCACTTAATGCCAGCCCTGGCTTAGAGTGGAGTTAAGAAGATGAAATCATGATGCCCACACCAGGCTGGGGACAGAGTGGCACTGTCCAGAAAAACTGTGAGGTCAGCAGCTGGGGCCATGGCTTTGGCCCTGGCACAAGGCCTGCTTGGGTGGAAGTGAGGGTGGCAGGGCTGGCCCCCCTCCCTGGGAGTTCCATGCCAAGCTAGGTCAGGACCAGGCCAGGCTGCTGTTGGGCAGGTATTTAGTGAGGACAGGGTCTCTGTCAGGGTCATCAGGACCCAGCAAGACCCAGCCCAGGCTGAGAAGGGAGCCAAAGCATGAGCAGGGGTGCATGCCTTAGGCAGGGGTGCAGCTGGCCCAGCCAGGACCTTGTTACTATTTGCTGTTAAACAAAAACATGAGGGGAGCAGGAGTTTGGGGCTGGCCTGGCCACAGTTTGCGAAGCCTGGAGACAGTTGCTAAGGGAGGGTAGTGCTACTTGGAGAATGTTGCTAAGGGCAGGATGGTGTCAGGGCGGCTGAGAGAGAAGCTCCCAGAGCGGCTGGGCTGGGCTAGGGAACTGGCGCCCACGGGTGCGGCACACCAGCACTCCCAGCGCCTGGGGCACAACCATGGCCACCTGGCCCCTTGCCATCTATTGGCGCTATAACCTCCCAGTCTGTAGAGTTTAGGAAGAGCAGGTGATTTGGGGACTAGCATGGGTAGGGGTTGTAGAGTTATGAGCCCCCAGAGGCATGTTGGTGACTGGAACACTTCCCCAGTGTCTACACCTTCAGTCTTCCATGGAAGCCCCTGGCCACACCCTGAGCACCGTCACACCAGTCCACACCCCCACAGCTGAATGTACTCAGCCCTGGCTCTACATTCTCGGCCTTATACCCCTGACCACACCCTTAACCAGCCCTGGGACTGAGGGCCTGGACCATTACCTCAGCACCCACCCCCACACATCTACTAAGAGCTCTGTACAGAAACTCACCAATAATACCCTCAGCCCTGCACTAAAGTGTCCCTTCTACCCCCTCACAGTCCCCCTGCAATCCCCTGACCACACCTACAGCCCTACACTGAAACTCCCTCCATGTAACACAGCCCAGTACTGAGGCCTCCTTGACCACACCTTCAGCCCTCTGCTGCAGCTGTCTCCATCCACACACACCCCAGTCCTGAGATGAGGACCCCCATCCACATACCCACGGCTCTTACTGAGCCCCCTAACCAGAGCTTCCCAACTCACCCCCTCTCCATACACCTGTAGCCTCTGACCACATCCTCAGACCCACCCTTGTCCACATACCCACAGTTTTCTGGCCTCATGCTCAACCCTGCTCTGAAGCCCCCCAGGTGCCCACATCCATAGACTTACACTTCCAGACTCCCAGGTACTACACTGAGAGCCCCCATGTTAAGACTCCCTAAGCACACTCTGCATCTCCACTGCAGCCTCCTGACCACACCCTCAGTCATGTCCTCTGCAAACATCATCTACCTCTGTCTTTTATCCTAAGGCCTCCAGTGACCACAGCCTGGGCCCCTACAGAACTACACCCCCTTTACATTTACCACTGGTCTTAACATTGAAAACCCTCTCCCAGTGACCATCCTCACCCATACCTAAGTTGCAATTTCTGGTACTGGCATCCCCACAGCCCCTACATTGTAATGACCCTGTCAGCCCACAATCCCAGTCCACACAGCACTCCCCTTCCCTCTCTCTACATTGCAACCTCCCACCAGGGATCCAGAGACCCGGCCCAAGGGCCGGGGGCAGTTTGTGGGACATAGATGCTTGTCCCAGGTGACTGGCAGGCTCCTGCCTCCAGTGCTCACTCTTGTCAGTGGGAAGGATTCTTGGTACTAATCAGGTGGAACCAGGTCGCAGGCCGCAGTCCCAGGAGTCTGCAGGCCAAGGATGCAGCAGCCACGCCCAAGAACTGGGGCCACCCGCTGGCTCCCACTGGGACAGCTGGAGTCATCAATCAGCCGGGCGAGGAGGTGGGGGAAGAACGCCTGGGGCCCAGGACAGGGCCGCTCAGTTGGCTCGGTACCATCTGGGGCTGGAACCCCTTCCAGGGCGCTCCCACCCCACCCTCTTCCTTATCATGCAGAATACGGATTAGGGTGGTCGGCGCCCGGGTCTCTTACCTGCTTCTACTTCGTGGCTGTTCCTGCAGTGCGTGTTCGATGGACAGAAGGACGCAAGAACGGACCGGCGGACGCGGGAGACCAGGCGGCTTCAAAGCTCTGCTCCCTGCCGGCTCCGGGGCGGGACTGCAGCCCGGGCGGTTCCGCCGTATTATCCCCTGTTTCTCGGTCTCCATAGAGACAGCGAGTCCCACCCCCAGGGCTGCCTCGGCGGGAGAATGACCAAGGTCACGCTGGCCCCACCCACAGCACCCCGCCCCCTCCGCGCTCCGCGAGGGCGGAGCTACTGCTAAAGCCTTATCCCGCAGCTCCCAGGGCAGCTCCGTGGCCTTCGCGCTGGGGGATACCGGCCCTCTGAAGCTCTGGACGTCCTCGGATGACCCCCTAATAGGAAAACAGCCTCATCCGGGGCTTCGCCCAAAGTTCAAAGCAGGCCCCCACCTCCACGGCAGAGATGAAGCTTTCCAGAGCCGCAACCGAAGGCCATTTGGGAGTTGGAGCGGGCGGGGTGGGAGGGAGGTGGGGCGGGGGAAGTTGGGGTGGGGAGAAGTCCCTTCCCTCAATGACAGTGGGGTCTAGAGCTGGCTCAAGACCACAGCTTTCCAATTAACGTTTGGCATCCCCAGGCCACAACTCGGGAGCTTTGGGAGCAGGAGGGAACAATGAGCGCATCACGAGTGCCCAGTCCCAGAATCCTGGTACACCGACCGCCATCCCAACTGCAGGAAAAAGCTCCAGGACCTCTGGGGTCCGCGTACTCCTTTATTCCCATCCTACCCCGGTGTCGGCCTCGCAGTCTCTGCTCCTGCTGCTGCCTCCGGATCTCAAAGCCTGTTTTCTCTCTTCAAGTATAAACCCTATCTTCAAGAAAAACAATCTCCTCCAGGCAGCCTTCCAAGGACTTTTCACAACCAGAAGCCCTGTACCTGAGCGCCTTCGGTCCCCGTGTACCTTTCCATGTGACAATCTGGGTGGTGACTCAATGTACGAGCCCCTCCCACCCCACCCCTAGGCCGACTGACAGTGGTCCAGCTCCAGGATGGCCTGTGGCCCTTGCCATTAAGAAAGTCTGCACTAAGTCCGCAAAAGCATTAAAAAAAAAAAAAAAAAAAGTTTATTGGAGCATCATGGCCGGTGGGGCGGGTATTGCTGAGTCTTGGGGGAAGGGACCCGCCGACCGCAGGGGCTCCTAAAGTGCACTCGGTGCGGCGAGGGTGGGGGTGTTGCATAGAGAATCCGGCTGGCCGCTCCTCCTTGGCCCTCCTGCCTCTACACCCGACTAAGCCAGGCCGGCCTCCCGGCCGCCCCGCGCTCCGGGCTCGCCGCTGCTCGGGCTGACGAAAACCGCGGGTGCACGCACCTGCAGCGCCAGCCCGGTCTCTCGGCCCCTGCCCCCTGGGGCGGCCAGAGCGGCGCTGCCCAGGCGCGTCTGGGCCACTGGAATCTCGTCCATGGACTCGGCTAACGCCGAGTGGTAGGCGCCTGCAGGCCCAGCGGCGTGCACTGGGCTGACGCCCGCGGAGTCCGATGGCGAGCTGGAGCTGCGGCCTGGGGCCCAAGGCACTGCGGGGATGGAGGAAAATATGAAACTGGGGGCTGTGACACTCTCGGGGCCCTACCTTTCCCTCGGAGCTCAGGATGCGGTCAGGAAGAGACACTCACCCGGCAGCCTGGGCAGCGGCGATTCAGGGTCCAAGGTCCCAGACGTTGGCACCTTATACACACGACGCTTCCTCTTTTTCTGCAGAGAGAGGGGAGAACCTGAGCGCCCCTTAGACTGCACATCGCCCAAAGAAGCAGAGGAGTGGGGCAAGGTAGAGGCTTCTTTCCATCCTCTTCCTCCTGGGCAAGGAGGCCAGCACAGTTCCCCTTACCTGGGGTTGGATCCGGGAGGGCAGAGCCCGAGTCTCTGGGGAGGAGGGTGGTGGGGGTTCCACTTGGCCTCGGGTGGCAAAGAACTGGGAAAGACTGAGGGGGAAGTGGAAGGGTAATCGCTGGATGGCCATTGTTCCCTCAAATCCCACCCCGCTGGAGGCCCTGAAAATAAGCCTCCCTTCCTAGTACATAGAAAGGGGCATTGATTTGTTCAAGGCTTTGCCAGGCTGGACCCAGACCTATATACTTTGGCCTTGGCCTACCCCCTTTCTCCCACCTTGGATGTCCCTGCCATGCCAATGAGAGATGTCCAGGTGGCACGTGCCCAGGTTGCACTCACTTGGCATTCACTGTGGCAGGCCTGGCCTGGCCAGGGGGTTCTGGGCGCACGTGGCTGAAGGTCCGCATGTAGAACTCCATCTCCTGGGGAAGGTGGGGGTCAGGGAGGCTGGGGGGCCAGGTGTGGATCCAAGGCCTTCTGGGTCCTGAGCCTATTCCATCCTGTATACAGTACCCCATCCTATGCAGAACACCCCCTTCTCACTGGTCTCTGTGCGAAGTCTGGGTACAGAGGTCTATGACTGTCCTCCAAGCTTCCCAGCTATGCTGGGAAAAATCTCTCTGTAGGCCAAGGCTTAAAACACCCATTTCTGGACCTTACCCCATCCCCACCATCTTCCTTACTTCATCTAGTCAAACTCCTCCAGGAAGCCCCTAGCCTCATAGGTCCAATGCTCCCAGTCTGCTCTGGCCAAGGTGGGTGGTAGGGTAGGGAAGAGGCTCTCAGGGCAACCCTCTCCTGGTTCCTCTCTTTTCGCAGGGTTGCAGTCTCTGAACTGATTTTTTCCCTGGTGGGAGACTGGCCAGCAGTTCATATGCCGGAGTGTGCGCCCAAGGCTGTATCACAGCATGACTGGACCGCAGCTGAGTCCTCAAGGTACCAGCCACAATCTTGGCTACCTGAGGGGTGGTGGGGGGTGGTGATGGGGGCTAGTGGGACAATGGGAGGTCTCCCCCACCTCAAAAGAGGCAGTGAGAGGTAGGGAAAAAACAGCTCCACAGCCCCATTCGGGATCAGGCTTGTAGGGAAGTTCTGTGTCTACTTTATAGTCACTGATCCTCACAGCCACACCGGGAGTGGCAGACCCAACCCCTGAAAGCGCAGGTCAGGTCACAGAAGTGCGCGGGGCTGCCACCCAGGACAAAGGACGCCCATGAGGACTGCAGATGAGGAGACAAAAGTTAGGAAAAAGCCAACCCAGGTACAAAGGGTGTAGGGCAGAGCCAGGACAATGATGCCCCGCCCCCACCGGGTGGGGGAGGGCACCCGGACAGCTGTCGCCCGCTGGGAAGTCGTTTCCATGGAGACCCAGGCGTCCTGACTAATGCAGAGATGACACTGTAACAGCAACGCTGTCTCTAAAACAAGCCTATGTTTGGGGCCAACGGCTCCAGAGTGGGGCCCCTCCCGCATTCCTGCTCAGGGTGGGGGTGGGGAGTCTGCCTTTAGGGCCCTGGCAGATCTGGGGGACAGAGCCCAGCCGGCCCCAGGCTGGCTGCACAGATACGGAGACTGATGCCCAAGCTAGCCCTCTGGAAAGTAGTGTGGGGGTGACAGCCTTAGCAGAGGAACACTGGAAAGGAAGGGATCAGAGGCCAGTCATGAGAACTGGGACCTCAAGGTAATCCGCACCCCACATCTTTCCTCTTCCCCAGTGTGGACTCAGCACCCCTCCAGGGCCCAGCAGAAAGGGGCAAAGCCTACCCTAGTGCCCTGGGGCTCCAGAAGCAGGGTGGGGCAGGAGGGGTGGGAGAAGCACCACCAGAGGATGGTCCCAGAAGCCTGAGGGGCCGGGATGAGACAGGAGCCAGGCCCTGGCCAGCTGGAGAAGTCTGAGGGTACACCGGGGTTCCCCCACTCAAATCCCCCTGGGATCCTCCCCCAGAGACCTGCAAAATGTGCACATTCCTGCGCAGTAAATGGTACCTCTCGGCCTCAGCACTGTCCTCTCTGCAGTGGGACAAGCACCCCTCCACCCCAGAGGCCTCCCTCAGGTCCTGTGCAGATGATGCTAACTGCCCTTGCTGCTTTTGCTGCCACACCTGACTCCAGAGCCGAGGCAGGCAGTGACTACAGGGCAGGGGCCAGGAGCCCTCTAGTCTGCGCATCCTAGGGCCAGCCCCGCCTCAATGGATACTGACTATGAAGCTTGAGAAAGTCTCCTGCCTACATCTCTGAGGCTGTCTCCTCTGTGAAGTGCGGATGGAGAAGCTGCCCACTCCCAGGATGGCTGCCACTGCACTTACATGCGTTCTGTGCCAGGCACCAATCTCTATACACGGTGGTGTAGCAGGGGGGCTGCCACCAAAAGTCAGCACTCCCCCAGGCCTCCCAGGCCTGGCAGCCTGGCCTGCCCCTGGCAATGACAACAGGAGAGGCGGGGTCCCAAGCCTTCTCCCAATCCGCCCACCAGCCTGTGTTTGTGTCTAGTTGCCATGAAGACTTGGGATCCAGAGTTCAGCCTTCCCAGCAAGGCCTGCCTGGGCCCCCTCCCTTCCCAGTCCCTGGGGGCTCCAAGAACTGGACCACCCCCACCCCCAGCTGCTGACCTCAGGAAGCCACGGGGCGTGGGAATGGGAATAGGCTGGTCAGTAGCTGGGCTGGAGGGTTCCTGCTTCAGAGTGTAAAGACTTTAACTCTTCCCAGACCCAGCTTGTTTAACCGTTCTTGGCCTCAGTAGGCTCATCTGCAACATGGGTACAGTTACGTTACCTGCTTCACGGGCTCTTTTAAAGATTAAATAGGGTAATGGGTATAAGGGCTCCGGGTCACGAGTGGAGAGAACTGATGGCTCCATCCTAGTGACCTATCCGCTGGTCCATCCCTCTCTCTTCTGCAGCCCCAACCCGCCCACTTTCAGGCTCCCACATGCCATGCCCTCCAGCACATGCCTGGAGCCTGGACAGGAATGTACATGGGGTCAGGGAAACACAGGGCTCCCTCTGGCTGTGCCCACACGTGAGAAGCCGATACGTGCTTAGTGTAGGCTTGGCCTTGCTCCTATTGCCTCCAGCATCCCCTACTCCAGCTGCGGTTCCAGGCCTGCTTCCCTTTGCCCTGTCTCATCACTGCTACTTGCTACACAGCCCACCACCCCTCCCACACCCAGGCCCCATCACCCACCCCCTTAGCCCTCTGAGCCACTTCTATACCTGAATGGGCCGCATCTTGGGGGGACATGACTCGAGCTCCCTGTGGGCCCCCTTTGCCTCCTGTGGCAGGCGATGCTGCACGATGTACTCATAGGTGGTGAGCTTGTGCCACACTGAGGGGGTGAGGAGAGGGCTCAATGCAGTGGAAACGGGATCCTAGAGTTCAGAAGGTAAGGGAGGGTACCCAGCCCCAGCCTGAAACCACTCTCCCCAAATACACTAACCCATGAAGTGAGACCAGGCCACCACAGAAAGCCAGTCCTGAGAAGGAGCCTGGTTTCAGGGTTCTACAGCACAACTGGTACCTCCCTGTGGCCTAAGGACCCCTATCCCCTGCAAGGCAGGTGTAGCTGTATGAGTGTGTGTGTGGGGGGGTGCGGGTGGGGAGGGACTTACTGAGATAAATGTGGAAGCAGAACAGGTGGCCCAGCAGGGCTGTGGAAAGCAGGCCCAGAAGGATGAGTAGGGCGGCCAGGGCCAGGATGGCAGGAGCCTGTGTCTCCACAGGGGCAGCGGGCAGGAACACAAACCACACATCTGTGTGATTCTTCAGCACTGCAAGGCACAGGCAGACTGCTCATCTGGGTCTATGACCAGCCACCGGAACAGGCCCAGGGTTGGGGGGTGGGAGTGGGCCTGGAGCTGGAACTGACCTTCAAAGTGGTGATTGGTGCGCAGCCGCATGGGGTTGACAAAGAACTCCACAAAGACATAAGTGGCCACCAGCACGAGGAGCAGGACACCCAGTAAGGCAGATGCCACACTGTGTAGAAAGAGCCTGGGCCCAGCCGTGGGCAGCTATCAGCACCCAGGTGCTCCAGCTGGGTAAGGGCCCAGAACTCAGAAGGGCCGGTGGATGGGATGGGGACCCAGGCCTCTGACCCCACAGCCCAAACTCTTCATGCAGTCAATGGCTTGGGCAAAGATTAATCTGGGCGGCCGCCCCAGCAGGAAGAGGACCCCAAACCTGCCCTCAGCAGTCCTGAGCAGCAGCCAGCAGGAGCACCACCCTCTGACCAGCACGCGCTAATGCACACCAGTGCCGGGCCCTCTAAGCACCCCAGCCCCGCCCCGCCCCATAGGCAGGCTCAGGGTCCCTGGCTCACACTCGCACCCATGCATCCCCACGCAAACGTGCGGCCCGTGTCCAGCTCTCACCGGTAGTTCCTCTCGCCCACGCAGTTGTTGAGCCACTTGCAGTGGTGGTCAAAACCGCACACGCACTTGTTGCAGGCGCTGCAGTGCTTGGAGCGAGCGCTCCTGCAGGAAGGGGTGGAAGGGGCACAACGCGCTTGGTTAGCTTTTCCCGCACTTCCCCGTGGGCCGCTCGCAGGGCAGCGGAGACGGCGGCAGAGGGACCAGTGTGCCCCGGATGCCGCACCTGGAACGGGTTACCCACCAGGCCCTCGGCTCCACGGCGGAGCGCGCTGACGGGGAGCGCGCACGCCCTCTGGCGGCACTGCAAAGCAGAGCACCCACAGAAGGCCTCGCTTCTGAAGGGCCAGGGGACTCGGAGGCAGGAAGGAGGGTTTGGGAGGCGTTACACTTTTCCACTCTAGGATTGCGCACCTGCATGACGGTGGTATGAGACGGAAATGGGGCTTCCTTTCCAAGCAACGACCCCTGTGCCGCGCCAGGAGACGATGCAGGCGTGCGACCAGGGAGCAGAAGAGAGCAAGGTTGCTGGGTCTAGGGCCTGCATTGGTTTCTCGGACATCTCCATTTTTTGAGTCCCTGTTTCCCTGCCAGTCTATGGGAATTTTACTGGCATTCTTCCAGAAAACCTCAGTCTGTCTGGGCTACCCAAAGGGAGCCAAAGGAAGAGGAGCAAGCTGACATCCAGGTGAGCAGTTTGCTGCAGGGGATCAGATGAGGTGAGGCCACATTAGGAATGCAAGCCCAACGGCATATGGAGTGAGCTGCAACCCCTTCCCCCAGAAGAGAACAGAGTGGGTAGCCACTGCCACAGCATCCACTAAAGAACAATGCACTGACCGGTGCCTAGAGAAAGAAAGGATGATCTGACACCAAACTCCTCAGTGCCTTAAGGCGGTCGGCTCTTACTCTGTCCTGTGGACACACCCTCTTCAACAGGCTGCTAGATCACAAGATGAGAAATGTGGAGCTAGCCTTGGACCATACCCCCACCCCCAATCCCCTGCCTGAGGCTGGAAGCTCCAGGAAGGGAGAGAGGGGCCTAGGGAGGCAGTCCCTAACAGCCAAGGGGGTATGGGCTCTGCACATTCTGACTGCCCTTCCCACTAGCAGTGTGATCTGGAGGAAGTCACTTGGCCTCTCTGGGCCTCAGATTCCTCATGGGTAACTGAGGATAACAGTATGGGCTTGGGGGCCAGGCAGGCTGGATTGTGAATCTGGCTCTGCTACCCAATAGCCATATGCAGGCCTCTCAGCCTTTTGCAGCATTGGGCTCTTCCTCTTCTGTGAGGTGACAAAGATGCTGCCCACCCTGCAGGGTTGTTCATAAGCACTTAGCACATAGTAAGTACTCAAGCATTAATTCTCCTCCCTGCCCCTCTCTGGGAATGCTTGTGAGAAACGGCGGGTGAGGGGGTAACAGAATTAGTCATTAGAAAAGTGTGTGGCAGTGCCAAATGTTTCCTACTTTAACTGTTGGAAATGCCATTCCTCATCTTCTGTTTCCAATCTCCTTGTCCTTCACCCAATTCTCTGTCACTCCATCAAGATTCTTGACTGTGTAAAACACGAGGGTTCTGTGGCATCAGGACAACTCTAAAGCCCTGGCAGGCGCCTCTCTCCCTGGAGCGCCCACTGGCAGTTTCCCGGGGCACACTCGGCACCCGCACACACCCTCAGCCCACACTCACTCACACATCTACATCACACAGGTTGCAGTGCAGATCTTCAATGACGTGTGCATGTTGGCTGCGGTTGAAGATGGGCAGGGGCCCTGCATAGCTCTTGTCCCGCACATTGGCATCTGCTGGATCGATGGAGACAGCGGTCAGGTGAACCACGAGGTGGCCGGCAAAGATGGCGCCCATGCACTGGCCCAGCAGGTTAAAGACTCACTCCGCACTCTGCCGGCTGGAAGCCCCCCTCCCCAACTTTATGGAGCCCAACAACAGCTGGCTACCTCCATGTGACTCCCTCATGCAGAGGCTGCCGTGCCACCTCCTGCCTCCAGCCCCACAAGAGCTTCCTTGTCAGACCGCTTCAGCACACCCATGCCCCAGATGGAAGAGAGGAGCCATGTGGTAACAAAGCTCACAAGCCACTGCCTACTGCCGCTGGGGGGCCCAACCACAGGGCTCTGGCCTCACTCCTCCAGGACTGGCACAGGTGCTGGCTGGTCTGACCTCAGAATCCAGATGATCTAGGTTCAGATTCTAAATGATGAAGTGAGACTGAAGGAGATTATCCTCTAAGGCCAAGGGACCCAAAATATAAGTTCTAAGTTTGTTTCTCTTGCCTTCATAGGAAGTCAGCTCTGAGTGGGAAGCAGCCATCCTTTCTCAGCAGCTGGGCCAGATGGAGAATCACTTGTAGACAGCGTCTCATACACCCACCACCTCCCCGACTGGAGTCCAGCTACTTGGAGCGCTAGGGCTCAGGGTTCTGAGGTGACTTGGCATATTCAGGCCCTGGCCAGGGGCAGCATGGCTAATTCTGGAGCTGAAACATAGATCTTCTAGGACCTATCTGCTCAATGACTAGGCCAAATGCTGGGGACAAGCATGCTGACAACTTGCTGCAAAGTCTAAATTAGTAAAAATTCACCAAGAGATTCGACCGAGGCAGCCATCCGCCATCTATCCATCCATGCATCCTCTTGCTAACCAGGCAGACATCATCCTTCCATCATTCATCCTCCATCCATCAGCTGCCCAACCTCGTTTTTCCTTCTTCCTCCTCCTCCCAGCGGCCAAACTTCCATACATGTCTGCATGAGCAAGGCTCTGCCCTAAGGTGCTGTACCAGAGCGGAATGCGAGTCCCATAGCCCATCACCACCTCTGTCCCTACAGCCCTGGCTGTAGGTCAGGCCTTCACTCCTTCCCCAGGTTATTCCATAGTCTCCTAACTGTTCCTCCTGTCTGCGCGCCCTTGAGCCTGCCCTTCACTTGGTCCCGAAGTGAGCTTTGCATAGCTTAAACCTAAAACCTTGTCTGCTTCAGTTTCTAGTGGCTCTCAAACTACAGTCTACTATTCAGTTCAGTGCCAAGCGCCCTTCTGCTCCAGCTCCACAGCTCCTGTCAAAACTGCCTGGTATCACCCACCACTACTCCTCACCATTCCAGCCTCTCTTCAGACACACTGAATATTTAGCAAACATTTAGCTTCCGGCCTGCTCCAACACTTCGTCCCCTCCCCACCCCTTGGTTCGTTCATTCAACTGTTCACTGAGGTCTTTCTCTACACCAGGCCCTACAGGCAATGGCAGAAGCAAGACAGACTTGGTCCCTCACCCCAAGGAGCCTGCAGTCAGGTGGGAAACACATATGTTAATCACATAATGGGTTGATTACAAAGAAGGAAGTTCATGGGACTAAGTGAGTAACTGCATGGCCTCATCTAGTCTGATGGGATCCAGAAGGCTGCCCTGAGGAAGTATCATCTCACCTGAGACTTGGAGAGGAAGACAATCGGCACCTGGTATAAAATCGACAGGAGGGTCTTGGCTGAGTACTGGGAGCAAACAGAGTCCCAGCCAGAGGGGTGGCTGATGGATGGTTCCAGCTCAGCTCATTGCTGCCATGCAGGAATGAGGGCACAACATGTCACCAAATTGTGGCTTTTCAAAAGGAACCAGAAATCTGGATTTTTATGTGAAGTCTCATTTTTTAAATATTGACAAATAATTTTTAAAACAAACACACCTGCCAGGGGCACCTGGGTGGCTCAGTCAGTTAAGCGTCTGACTTCGGCTCAGGTCATGATCTCAGGGTCCTGGAACTGAGCCCCACGTAGGGCTCTGTGCTCAGCAGGGAGTCTGCCTGTCCCTCTCCCTCTGCCCCTCCCCCAACTTGTGCATGAGCTAAAAACACACCTGCCAAAGGAACACTTAAGACTGTCCTTTTTTGTGTGTTAATTTTCCCCCAATTAAAAAAGAAAATCTCACCTAAAAAAAAATAAATAAAATCTGAGGGCGCCTGGCTGGCTGAGTTGGTAGAACATGCAACTCTTGATCTTGGGGTCGTGAATTCAAGCTGCACAAGGGGCATAGAGACTACTTTAAAAAAAAGAAAAAAGGGGCACCTGGTTGGCTCAGTCGTTAAGCGTCTGCCTTCGGCTCAGGTCATGGTCCCAGGGTCCTGGAATCTAGCTCCTCACTCAGCGGGGAGCCTGCTTCTCCCTCTCCCACTCCCTCTGCTTGTGTTCACTCTCTCACTGTCTCTCTCTGTCAAATAAATAAATAAAATCTTTAAAAAAAAAGAAAAGATCTGTAGGCCAAACAGGCCCATGGGCTGCTAGTTCTGGACTCCTGCCTTAGCTGGTTGTTGGGACAGAGAGAGTCAAAAGCCTTCCAGCCAGAGACCAGTGGTGTCACAACAGAGAACACCAGAGGAGAGAACATAAGAGGCAGGGGAAATGGGCAGAACCCAGAGAGCCCTGAGGATCTTGAAAGTCATTCCTTAAGTCAGGAAGAAGCCATCACGGGATGTTAAGCTGGGGGAGCAACTTTGGATTTTTGAAAGAGCGCTCGGCTGCAGGGACACAGACAGACATAGACGGACTGGCCCAAGTGAGTGTGTGTGGGGGGAGATCTGTCTGGAAACAAAACGGTCATGGGCCAGAGGGGCAGACGGCAGTGGGGAGGAATGAGGGCAAGTTTGATAGCTACTTAGGAGGTAACATCAACAGGACTTGCTGACTGACTGGATACAGGTGATGAAGGAAAGGGGCCAAGCCAAGGGTACCTGGAGAAACAGCCGCAGAGAAGGCCGGGTGCGCGTCAGGCGTGCATCTGGGCTCATGGCGATGCGGGTCTACATGGCCCTCCTCCACCCATAATCTGCTGTAAGGCTCCCACCCTCATACCTACCATGCGACCATCTCCAAGCTACAAGGCTTTTCTCCAGCGGGAGGCTAAGCACCCAGGGCGGGGGCCCTGTCTTACTCCTCTTAGCAACACCAGGGCCCAGGCCAGTTCCAGGCCCGAGGTGGGTATGTGGTACACACCATTAGCCTACCTCATTCCTCAGGGGCCCTGAAGAAACCTGCAGAAGAAAGGTTGTTTTGATGGAAGGAAGAAGAGGCATCCAGGCCTAGAAGTGGGAGTGCGGATCTGGGTGGCTCTGTGAGCCTCCACACCACCCAAAGCAATGAATGTGGAGAGGACAAAATGCTTAAACCGTCCCACTGCCTCATGGTCCGCTTGCCTGAGCAGCTCGTCTGGCCTCAGCTGATATCAGCTGTGTGACCTCAGGAGGTCAATCTCTCCTAGCACCAATTTCTTCACTAGTAAAGTGGGGAGAACACCTTCCTTACAGAGTATTATGAGGATCGAATGACATAGTCCATGTACAGGGGATGGCACCGTGCCTGGTACACATATGTGCTCAATAAATGCTGTTACTCTTGTTTACTGTTATTTGCCCTAACTGTACTTACTCCCACCATGTGGTTATTAACCTGGCTTCCCAGGTATCCTGGTGGCAGAAACCCAGGTTATCCTGCTGAGGGGTATGCCCATCCCAGATCACGGGAGGAATGTTTCATGAAGCGTTCTACTTAAGAGCACTGACTAAGGCCTGTTAGTCACCTCAGGGAAAGTCCAGTTTTCCATTTACAGAGCTGATGAGGAGGCCCTGGGCCCTAGCGAACCAGGAAGCCCTCCAGTGACGTTGCTGGTGTCTGAGGACAAGAACTTTCTCCAGAGTCCTTCTCCACACACCTGTCCTTGTCACTCACCAGTTTCCTGAGACAGCACGCTTACACTTCTAGCTCACACATTCTGGTGCTCACACACACACCCTTGCATGTTCCTTGTCCTCTGGGAAGCCGGAAGCACTCTCCCTGTCAGAGGAGGCCGAGAACCAGAGAGCTGGCAAAAGCTGCTCAGCCTGGTACAGCCCCGACAGGGCTGAGCTGTGGCCCAAGCTCAGCTGCTGACTCTATGCCCAAAGCTTTCAAGTTCATCTCTGCGAACCTCCTTTAGCTCACTCTAGCCTTCCTCCCCCAAGAAGCCCAAGAAATCATTTTCATGAAGCACACATACCAGGGCAACACTCTCCTGGGCACCCTCTGGACAGGGGCACATGGCCACCTGCTGCTCCCCGACCTCCCAGCCCTGTAGCCATGTCCCCTGCTCCTGGGAGCTGTGGCCGAGGCTAGGGCAGTCACACCGCCAAGCTCATGCAAGTTTGTGTTTGTCACTGTTCCCAGGAGCCTCCAGGGCATCTTTATCCCTCCTCTTGTCAATTCAACCTCACCCTAAGAGTGTGATTTACAAAACCAATGAGCTCCTAAACAGTCCCGGGCACAGCATAATTATCTGATCGTACATAAAACCACATTTTAAATACACCAGGAAACTTAGTATGTAAAAGAATTCTACCATGAGTCTTTTTGAAAAGTGAAAAAGTCTTTTGTAAATGGAATAATTAGGGGCGCCTGGGTGGCTCAGTTGTTAAGGATCTGCCTCCGACTCGGGTCGTGATCCCGGGGTCCTGGGATCGAGCCCCGCATCGGGCTCCCTGCTCGGCGGGAAGCCTGCTTCTCCCTCTCCCACTCCCCCTGCTTGT